GGTCTCCGCGTAGCCTGGGCCTACTCCGCGCTGTGGGAAGGCTGAGGTGGTGGAGCGTGACGGCAGGGAGAGGAGCCGCGCTAGCCGGGCTGGGAGGAGCCTGGGCTGTGGCCCCGGCCGATCCTGGCGGCTTCTCGGATGCCTCTGTTAGTTTGTAGCCTCTTGCCAGGTGGGGTAGACGTACGTACGGGTGTTGAATGGTGCCCAGCGCATCCCTGTGAGGCCAAATAACAGGCGTTTATTTGGAGAGATGAGTTGCGGGAATCTGGAATAAAGAATCTACTGAAGAAGGTGAGCGTTAATATCCCCCAGAGGGATATTCCTGAATGACTCGGAGAACACTGCACTGTGAGTGTTATCCACGTGCTCATATTTCACAGCTGAGGCAGTAGCACCTTGTTGGTAGATTTCAAAAGCTGCTAATAAATCCAAAAATGTTGGTTTGGGTATCTGTTCTGTTACCCATACTTTCAGGGAAGGACCAACCTGTAGACCCAGACCAGTTATCTCCACACTGAAACCAGTAGCTTGACTGAAGAAGCTGGTCACTGTCACCAGTGCTATGACTCTTGCACTACAATTTCCTCAGTACTCTTTTCCAAGGAGTGAAGACAAAGAGTGCGCCATGAGTCAGCTGGAAGGTTTCTGGTTTGAGAAGATGAGTCACAAGATGGGTCACATTTCTCTAGCAGGAAAGGAAGCTGTGCTCAAATTTTAATTTGTTACAAAAGCATACACCCACTGACCTACTGCTTGGTTTTACGTGTGATCATTCAGCTTGTACACAAGTGGCTGCCATCCTTCCTTTCTGCCAGGAAACCAGATCTGAAAGTCTCTCTCTGTGTAGATTTCAGTGTCTGTAATTCAAGATGTTTTTTTCTTTCCATGATGACAAACTTTTGGAGAAGTCCTGTATCTCTTCTGTTTGAATGTAGCCACGGCTTCTTTATCTCACATGGTGGTACAGGCCCAGCTTGAGTGGTAGAGCCATGCAGTTCTGGTCCTTTAGGACGTGTCAGTTATAACTTTGATTCATGAGTATGCGGCTTGGAGCTCTCTAAAACATGTCCCAGATACTGGTTGTAGGTTTCAGGTGTTTTAAGATTTATTAGCAGGTCTTCATATGACTTACTGTTGATTATAGTTTCATCAGTTATTTTATGTAACAGCAATCCCAAGATTGCAGCACGCAGAAGACATTCGTCCTCAGGCAAAGCACTAGAGAAGGCAAATGTTCTTTAGGTTGGCCTTTAAGGCAGGAAGAGAGATGAGCTTTGAACACGTTTAGTCTTGCAGTTCATAAGAAGAAAGCACACCAGTGCTTTCTCCTAGAAAAGACTCCACCTTCAGTTCTAGCAAACGTTTCACAACGCTTCTCTGTCAGGGATATCATCTCTGCTGGCAGAACAGGTTGCCCAGAAAAGTTGTGGATGCCTCATCCCTGGCAGTGTTCAAGGCCAGGTTAGACGGGGCTTTGAGCAACCTGGTCTAGGGGAAGATGTCCCTGCCCATGGCCGGGAGTTTGGAACCAGATGGTCTTTAAGGTCCCTTCCAACCCAAACCATCTGTGATGCTATGATTCTATAGACGTTGTACGATATGCTGTCATTGATGTAACTGGCTGGTTTGGGTTGAGATTTCTGCACCAAGTTTACAAGGGAGTAGAATTTTCTAGCAGTTTTCATTTTCAGGTCCCAGTTCTTTCAGACCATACTGTGAAAACTGATTTCATCTCATATATTGGCCAGCCCAGTGAATAAACAGACTCCACCTAAGTAAAACTGCCTTGTAGCTGCAGGTTTAATATTATAATTAGCTCTGCAATATTACTTTCTCTAAAGCTGTGTTTGATTAATTGTAAGACCGGGGCTCTGTCTGGCTTGTGTTACAGAATAGTATGGTTCTTTCTGCTGCTATCTTCGTCACACTGATTGGCCTGATCATATACCTGCACTTCGTGAAAATTGACCAGGAATCCCTGTTGGTCATCGGCTCACTTGGCATTCAGGTGACTTCATCTTATGCTTCAAAAAAACCTTCATTGAGATGGGCCGAGTGAAGGATGTGGTTATCAACGAAGCCATCCATATGGTAACCGTGGACAGTCTTTGTTCTTGCATATCTGTGGGCACACTCACATCCAATATATTTTCACGAGCGTGATTTGCCAGAGCAATTAAACACAACACCACCCGTAGCTTTACTGACATCAGGGGCTTGCTTTCAGATTTTTCTCTTTGTTCTCCTATCTGTTCTCTTGCCTTTAAGGAGAACTCAAGCCAAACAAATAATCTCAAAGAACCAAATCCGTCCCTTAGATAAAGCCACTGGCACTGAGGTAGCGGGTTTAGTTCTTTGTGTTGTACTTTTCTTACAAATCCTGATGCCAAACTCTGTAAGTGATCAAGACGGAGACAGACAACACAAAAGATAATTTTTCCTATTGCTGGGGTTTTCTGCAAGGCTTCTGTAGAAAAGCAGACCTTACCCCTCTAGTATGTGTCTGTTCTTCTCAGGTTAAAAGTTTAATAGAAAAAAAACAACAGGTAAAATTATTTTTTTTAAATTGCTTTAAGGAAGGAAAGCTACAGATAACTTTGTAGACTTGTCTGTGGCTGAGGTGACTGGCTTTTGGTCGAGTTGAAACAGATTCTCCGGGCACTTTGAGAGCATTTTTAAACTCAGATGATTTTGTCTGTTTGTCTTACAGCAAAAAGTTATCTACTACCTGTGCATCCTCCTCCAGGACCCAGGAGATCCTGAGGGAGTGTCTGAGGTTGTGCCACTCTTTCAGGTGAGCTTGACTGATTGGTGGAGAAATGCAGATCTGTGGTGTGTGTGCATGTGCCAGCATCTTTATTCCACTACAGGTAGCTGATTACAGTTATCTTTCCATGACGAGGCCTTCAGGGTGGGTGCTATTAGAAGTCTTTCAGAACTATGTGCCAGGGATTTTTTTTTTTTCATTTGCCCTCCATTCACAGAGCAGTGTAAATCTGAACCCAACCAGGAGTTTGCATGAACTGTAGGTCTTTCGCTCACGTAGGGTGCTGAGGACTCGCACAGCTTTCTGTGTAGTCTTATGCTAAGCATTGCCATTGTAACTATGGCACTGTGCTGCAGCTGATTTTTCTCTCGGCTCCATGTGCCAAAAGTGCACATGAAAACCTCCTTGACATTAGAATGACTTCTCCTGTCTCACCCGTTGACAAAGATCACAGTACAGGCTGTGAGCAATTTGCTTAATGTATAATAACTTGTTTGCTTTACCGTTACCCTGTTTCCCCTTTCTCTTCTCTTGCTAACTTGTTTTGACTGTTCATAATCCCATTTTGGGGATGGATTTTCTTTCTGTGTGTACACGCCTAACACAGCAGTACCCTGATCCTTGAGTGGTGGTAAACAGAACAGAGGTACCTCGCGTCTTAGATTGCTGAGGTTTATAGCCCTCTCTGTCCTTCTTAATTCACCTGGGGCTGGCAACTGTCATTTTGTAGTCCACATCTAGCTAGACTTTGGCTAAATGCTTACAGGTATAAATAGACTATTCCATTGATACTTGCTGCTAGCGTAGTCCCACAATTGTAAAGATGTTTACTAACAATAATATAAATGAAGTATTTCACACATAGTCAAGGGGGAAAAAATGGATTTGCTCTAATGAATTCCAGAAGGCTCCAATCAGGAACCAGGTTTTAGTTACACATGTTCGTTTCCAGCTTCAGAGAGGCTGCCTGGCATTTGTATTGTTTGTTTTTTTCCTAGCTCAACTCTGAACAGTTTTATTTTCATCGAAATATCTTAGTGTTGGTAGAGTTCACTCCACCAGCAAAGGAGGTACAGAAAGAGCTGTGTCGGTTTGCAGTTCATTACCTGTCAGTAATTCTCACTTTAACATGCAAGTTAGTTAATTTTGAAGGAGCAATAATTAGTAACTTCATTGCATCTCCTTCATTGGGGCTCAGCTTTCAAAAATACAATTTACTACGTCACTGAGCCCAGGAGCACTTCTGCGCTGGATTGACCTATTGTTCTCTTAAGCAACCCTTGGAAGGAGAGGTGTTTGATGGACTTTACACAGTAATGCTGTTTTGGGAGCTCAAAAGTCATGGGACCATAGGGTCTGCGGGCCTGGGAAACTTTCACCTCCTTGCTGGTTTTCATCTGGTCCAGGTTAGAAGTGATAGAAAATCATTATACTTTGACCACCATTGGCTGTTCATTTGAAATGAGTTGATGTTTTCAGTTAACCTTCTGTTGTCCTTTTGTTGACAGTACTAGCAGAGGCCAAGGGCCAGGTGTCTCAATTCCCTGCTCTGAAGGTAGATTTTTCAGGGTGGAGGTCTTCTAGGCTGGTGGGTTGGCATATAGAAATCTGCTGTTTGGTCGGTCTCTAGAGGGATTATGGCCTAATAGATAGGATAATGGGTAGGGAGGTGTGGATGTTCTTCCATGCTGTGACTGTGAGCTGAGAAAGGGGAGGATTTCTGATTTGGTGAGAGATTCAGGCTAACTGAAGAATGGTGCTGCGTGCTTTGACCTGGCACCATTAGGGACTGGTTTGGCTTACAGAATGGCTTTATGGAATGGCTTTCCATTCCTGTATCACCGTCTTAGATCAAACACCTCCTGGAATTTGATGGATTATTTCTCAGTGAGCATGTAAAAGGGAAATCTATTCTCCACTGACTTAATGCAAGCAAGCTAATCAACTACGGATATCTTGCAGTTGCATTCCTTACACATGCATGCTTCTGAGAGTCAGCTCGCTCTTTCAGCTCTTCCTTTCTCTACCTGACAATCCCAGTAGCGGGAAACTCTTTTACAGCCAGTTCAGAGCCTGATTCTCTGTTGTTTGACTTAAATTCTAGAGCTCCAAGCCACGTCTGGACTGCTTGATAGAAGTGTACAGAAGTTGTCAAGAAATCCTGGAGCAGAGGAAGACAGCTCCACAATCAAGTGGAATAAAATAGTAAAAAAAAAAAATCAAGGCAGCAAACTTGCAGCAGGACTCAAGAGAGGTGCATAGAAAAGCAAGCAAAACTGCCCCATGGCTTTTTAAATTAGATGATGTTAGCCCTAAGAGCTAAAGACCCACATGGACTCAACGGAGTTCTTACAGATGTCAGCTCAAGCACACAAGTGAACCTCGAAATCCTCTGCTATGAAGACAGGTGGGCAGAACTTTTAGACCCAGACAGGATTTTCTTTGCCCCTCTAGCAAAGAATTATGGGCAAGTAGGGCAAAGGGAGGCAAGAACATGCATTGGGTATTTACTCTTTTGTGGATCTGAAAACTATGATAAACTCATAACATAACCTTGGCTGGACTGCCAGAAAAATATGTGCTTTTTGTTTCTGTTTTCTCTTCTGTTTGAAAAAAAAAGCATTTACCGCTCTAAATGCCAAAACTGATGTGTGGGCTGGGATGGTCACTTTGTGATCCATAGGAGAATTTCAGAAATAAAGTAACAGAAAACTGAAATACGCTGTTGCATTCAGTTACCTTCAATGAAAAATAAAAAACATGGGAGAGCAGACTTTGACCTCTTCAGGGATCTGCTTGAAAGAGTCCCATGGGATGGGGCCCTAGAGGGAGGAGGAGTCCAAGAAAGCTGACTGATAGCCAAGGATCACCTCCTCTAAGCTCCAGAAGAGTCCATCCCAATGAGCAGGCACTCAGGCAAAAGTGCCAGGAAGCCTGCACCGATGAACAAGTCACTCCTGGCAAAACTGGAACACAGAAAGGAAGTATACAGAAGGTGGAAGCAGGGACAAGTAACCTGAGACAGGTAACCAACAGCAATACTGTTGGAGATGCAGTTAGGAAAGCCAGAGCCCACCTGGAGCTGAATCTGTTGGGGGCTGTCAAAGGCAACAAGAAGGGCTTCCATAAGGACATAAGTAGCCAAAGGAAGACAGGAAAAACGTGGACCCATTGCCAAATGTGGCAGGGGCATGGTGACACAGGACCTGGAAAAATGTGGCATTAAAAGGGCCACATCAATTGCTCTGAGAATATGAGGACTATGTGTTGTTGAAAATGATGGTAATGACTATGTGAATAAAGTTTTATTGATCTGTGTTCTTGGGACTAACTTAAGGTTGGGAAATTCTTCCTTGTTGATGAGCTGGAAGTTACTGTAACTTTTAACTGGTATTTTTCTGTCTTTTTTTATTTTTTATTATGCCTCCTTAGTAGTATAACCAAGACGATTGAAATGTCAAAACAAGAGCTAAAGCAGCAAGTTGGTCATGCTTAATTTGCATGTTAAAATCCTGTACTATGCTTGTCTGCATAAGTTGTAATTAAAACATAGCAATATACAGTCAAGCAATATGGGAGAGATAAGGTGGTTTTTTTTTTCACAGTGCCACAAAGTTTGAAGGACACAGTTTAGTTCATGTCACATAAAGTATTCTAGTTGTCCAAAAAAGGCAGCAACTTGGGGATGGACCACTAGCTTTTGGGTATCATCTTGGTTCACTGTTTTATTTCTCATAAATACTTTAAATGGTGGGGTTGGCCAGATTTTTAATTCCAGTGCTGCCCTCACGTAAGTTTGTAGGTCTCTCTGAAGTTAGTAGAGCTGCACCCTGATGCAGACCAAACCTGTGTTTGGTTTCAAGTCCAGGCACAACTGGGAGGGGCGGACGTTTGGGCAGAAATTGGCCATTAAGAACAACATCAGGTCCTGGGAGCGTGACTGCGTAAATGCCCACAGTGGAGGTCGTTTGACTAAGGATCATGTGCTGTACTTGAGTCGCAGATGGCTTTGGGGCGTGGTTTGGCCAAGTTGTGTTTCTTCATGGGGAAGAGAAGTGGTCAAGGCCCTTGAGGGACAGTGTAGCAGGAGGAGGATTCACTGAGCTGTGGGGAGAGCATGTCAGAAAATAAATTACGTCTCAGCAGAGCAAACAGAGTCTTGGGCTTAAGAGGGTGCTGGGAACATAGACTATGCTGTAAAAACTCCATGAAGCCCTAAGAATGTGCACTGAAGAAATGACCAAGTAGCTGTGTCTCAGGAGGAAGTCTGAAGATTGTTTCAGCCATCTTCTGAAGGAGTGAACATCCTGTGCCCAGGGGAGGGCACTTCAGTCATCCACTACAGTTGAGAGAAGATCAGCAGAGACAGAAAAGGAGTGAGACTAGGGCAGGTTTGCACCAGCTATGTGCCTGGATATAAACCACAATCTTTGTCCGTTTTTCTTTACATCCAGACTATTTTGGCTTTTTAAAGTTTCATCTCAGAACAATACAGTTTAATTCATGATAACTGCATTTTATTAAGAACAGAAATCTCACAGTATCTCCCAGACAGTCTTTTACATACGCACAGCAGTTAGAAAAACAAAGGCTTTTGTCATCTCATTCTCTGCTACAGCAATAGTCATCACCAAAAGCACTGATTAAAATAAAAATTGTTTACCAAAGAATCATACAAAATAGATATCTACACAGGGTGGTTGGTTGCTTGCAGTCAGGTAAGCTATAAATAGGAGGTATATGTGCATCCATCAGAGTGGGGTGGTCCCTGAAATACTCAAGTATTGGTGAATATTTATAAGAAATAAGAAAGAAAAAAAAAGTTCTATATGCCACGTTTCTCAATTTAAAGTGCAGTTATGGCAGAAAATAATGAGCTTCAGGACAGCTCTTTCTGATTCAACATTTCTGCTTCTTTTTTGACCTGGTTCAAGTCTCTAAGGACATGACTGTTGGCACTGAGAGAATGGAGAGTTTTATGCCTTGAGCATTCAGCACTGATGACAGCTCATTTTACTTTGAAGCACCTTTGTTGCTGGTGAGATACAGGACACAGGTTTGCCAGACAAACCTCTGAATACAGGAGGATTTGCTAGGCACAGGTGATAGAGTGAGGAGGAATAATGCTCTCTGTATTCAGACAGATGAGCTATACTAAGATCACTCTGTGTGTGTGTGACAACAGAAGAAATACATACTACAGACCACTCTAAACAGTCACTTAAAAGTATCCAAGGAAAATAAAAATATTACATACCTTCTCAAAATTGCTTTTGGCTCAGAAAGCTTCTACCCTTTCTGTAACTTCAAGGGATGGTCCTTAAATTCATAATAAGTGGGTATATCACAGTACGTGCAAATCATATCTCTGTTCATATAATCTTTTCCTGTCTTACATCTGCCATAAGGTTTCCACAACGGGCTGCTTTCATGGGATTGTTTTTTTTTTTAATTTTCTTTTTATGTTACAAAAGATGCTGGTAAGGGATTGCTTAGAATGATTTTTGTCTGTCCCGTGCTCTTCTCTTTCAATTTGTGCCTTTGCACCCACCATAAGAGTGAAGCAAAAACTTCTTGGAGTACCAGCTCCACTGTGTGCATTAGCTGGATGTTTCAAGGTTGGTGGCAGGTACTAGGGAGTAGAAACACTGGTACGGTTGGTTTGTTCATTTGCGAATAGCTCTGGTTTGCTATTGCTGAATTCTTTCTAATGGTTGGATTCACACCATTTTAGTTTGGGAAAGTTGCCCATGAATGTGTAATTATTATGAAGTTATGCATGGTAGGTCTGAAAGTGCAGTTATTTTTCCTTAGCTTTTCTAGAATGCTTATCAAAATAGCTGAACTCAAGCCAGGGAGATTTAGATTTTTCATGAATAGTTGCTATTTTCATTTGTTTAAAATCCATTAACCTTCTCAAGCATAATTAAGTCACGTTGAAACAGATTTAAAAGAAAACATTGTTTAGCAAAGTCAGAAGAACAGTACTTGAGTACATATTTGCTGACTACCTCCTCCTTGCTGTGGTAGCATGAAGGAGGCAGGAGTCTGAAAGGAGCAGCTTCTGTCAAATCAGAATGACAGAGCTGGTTTGGGAAAATCTGTTCCAGTTGCTAAATGGCAGAAGAAAAATTTGCTTGCCTTGTCTTCCTTTGTCTGAGAATATGTGCAGTTTCAAACACATGCTGAAACATCTACAAACAGTGATTAACAGAAAGAGTCTTTGAAAGTGCTTGTTTGATGGTGGAGCACATGACACACTTAGCCCTGCAGCAGAAAGCTCGTATTCATCTATTGCATAGAGCAGCATCAACTCCTCAAATGCACCAGAATCCTGTAGGAGCGAGGGCATCATCTGACACCACTCCAGTCCCGAGTCCTCAGCTTGCAAAGACACTAGGTTTCTGCCTTTACGTGAAGTTGAAAATATTCTCGAGTACCACTGAACCCTTATTCAATGCTCCTTCTTTCAGGCCTGAAGTGACCCTTGACTTGCATCAGAATTATTCTTGCTAGTTTAGTTCCTCTTTCTTCTCAACAGCATCTTCTTTATTTTGTTTCTGAAGCAAGGACTTTGTCTTTCAATTTTAGCATCTGTTTCAGTGAGGAGTCATTACAGTTCTAGGGAAAATTAAATTGTCCTCTTGGTTGTGTTAAGCAGTTGCATAAAACTAGTTGTTTTGGGAGCAGCGACACTGAATTTAAACACAGGTCAAAACTTTCATATTATGGCTATTCACAACCAGAGCATGGAGCTGAAGTTACATCTAAACTACTTGATCAGACTATGTCACGTTAATCTTTACACCCTGGTAACAGCCTTTTTGGTGTGTATCTAGTTTATGGTGCGGTGCTGTGCAGCTCCTAATACAGGTGGTGATCAGCAGGATGCATCCTTGTACAGGGTTTGTGCCACAGTAGCCATTAGCACCTGGTTTTACTTTCCATAGAACTGTGTGCTCAACCTACTGCAGTCAGATTCAAGCCTATAGGCACACCACTCAAATCTGCCTTGCAGAGGTTGCAGTCTAATTCAGATAAAAAGCAAGCAAGTTAGGGATTGTTGAAAACAGAGGATTATTGGAAACAATATAATAATTGCAAGGTGCTATGATGAGGAAAAGAGGTCACCAGGAGTTTTAAGAGCTGGACTGAGATTCCAGATGTGGGATATGCAGTGAAGGCAGGTACAGAGCTGAAAATGGA